AGCTGTTCACTCATACGCTTCCCTCCCTTTTCATTACAAAACAATAGCAGAGCACATGCTGGGCAGCGGTTTTGTTTTAGATCTGTATATACACACACAGCCTCACACAGCTATATATATACGTGTATGTGTGTATACAGACGGAGTCTTGCTCTGTCACCCGGGCTGGAGTGCAGTGGTATGATCACCGCTCACTGCAGTCTCCACCTCCCAGATTCTTGCAGTTCTCCTGCCTCAGCCTCCAGAGTAGCTGGAACTACAGGTGCCGCCACGCCTGGCTAATTTTTTTTATTTTAGTAGAGACAGGCTGGTCTCGAACTCTTCTGCCTCGGCCTCCCAAAGTGCTGGGATTACAGACGTGAGCCACCATGCCCAGCTATATATATATATATAGAGAGAGAGAGAGAGACAGTTTTGCTCTGTTGTGAGGCTGGAGTGCAGTGGTGTGATCTTGGCTCCCTGCATCCTCTGCCTCCCAGGTTCAAGTGATTCTCCTGCCTTGGCCTCCTGATTAGCTGGGACTACAGGTGCGTGCCACCACGCCCAGCTAGTTTTTGTATTTTCAGTAGAGATCGAGTTTTACCAGGTTGGCCAGGATGGTCTCAATCTTTTTTTTTTTAAAGATGGGTTTTCACCATGATGACCAGGCTGGTCTTGAACTCCTGACCTCAGGTGATCCACCCACCTCGGCCTCCCAAAGTGCTGGGATGACAGGTGCCTGGCCTAGATCTCTCTCTGTGTGTGTGTGTGTGTTTATTTTTTGAGATGGAGTTTCGCTCTTGTTACCCAGGCTGGAGTGCAATGGCGCAATCTTGGCTCACTGCAACCTCCGCCTCCTGGGTTCAAGCAATTCTCCTGCCTCAGCCTCCCGAGTAGCTGGGACTACAGGTGTGCCCCACCATGCCCAGCTAATTTTGTATTTTTAGTAGAGATGGGGTTTCACCTCGTCGACCAGGATGGTCTCGATCTCTTGACCTCGTGATCCGCCCACCTCAGCCTCCCAAAGTGCTGGGATTATAGGCATGAGCCACCATGCCCGGTGATCGGTATATATTTTTAATCATAGACACAATTGTGCCGTATTACCCAGCCTGGTCTTGAACTTCTGAGCCCAAGCAATCCTCCCACTTCAGCCTCCTGAGTGGTGGAGATGGCAGCTCTGCACACCACCGCACCTGGCTTATTTTAAAACCTTTTTTTTTTTTTTTTTTTGAGATGGAGTAGGTAGGGCGCGGTGGCTCAAGCCTGTAATCCCAGCACTTTGGGAGGCCGAGGCAGGTGGATCACGAGGTCAAGAGATCGAGACCATCCTGGTCAACCAGATGAAACCCCGTCTCTACTAAAAATACAAAAGTTAGCAGGAGGTGGAGGTTGCGGTGAGCCAAGATCACGCCATTGCACTCCAGCCTGGGTAACGAGCGAAATTCCGTCTCAAAAAATAAAAAAATAAAATAAAAAGAGAGATGGAGTCTCGCTCTTGTTGCCCAGGCAGTGCAGTGACGCAATCTCGGTTCACCACAACCTCCACCTTCAGGGTTCAAACGATTCTCCTGCCTCAGCCTCCCTAGTAGCTGGGATTACAGGCATGCACCACCACACCTGGACAATTTTTGTATTTTTAATAGAGACAAGGTTTCTCCATGTTGATCAGGTTGGTCTCGAACTCTTGACCTCGGGTGATCCACCCACCTCGGCCTCTCAGAGTGCTGGGATTACAGGCGTGAGCCACCGTGTTTGGCCTAAAAACATTTTTTCAGAGACAAGGTCTCACTGTGTTGCTCAGGCCTGTCTCCAACTCCTGTGCTGAAGTGATCCTTCTACCCTACCTTGGCCTCCCACAGTGCTGGGATGACAAACATGACCTGCCATGCCTGGCCTGCAACTCCTTTTGGATGCATGTTTCCATTTATTTTTTATTTTATTTTATTTATTTATTTTTTGAGATGTAGTTCCTCTCTTGTTACCCAGGCTGGAGTGCAATGGCGCGATCTCGGCTCACCACAACCTCCGCCTCCTGGGTTCAGGCAATTCTCCTGCCTCAGCCTCCCGAGTAGCTGGGATTACAGGCACATGCCACCATGCCCAGCTAATTTTTTGTATTTTTAGTAGAGACGGGGTTTCACCATGTTGGCCAGGATGGTCTCGATCTCCTGACCTTGTGATCCACCTGCCTCGGCCTCCCAAAGTGCTGGGATTACAGGCGTGAGCCACCATGCCCGGCCTATTTTTTATTTATCTTTTTGAGATAGAGTCTCGCTCTGTTGCCAGGCTGAAGTGTGGTGGCGCGATCTCGGCTCACTACAACTTCTCTTTCCTGGGTTCTGGTGATTTCCTCTGCCTCAGCCTCCGGAGTAGCTGGGACTACAGATGCACTCCGCCACGCCCGGCTACTTTAGTACTTTTAGTAGATATGGGATTTCACCATAGGGTCAGGCTGCTTTCGTATTCCTGACCTAGTGATCTGCCCACCTCGGCCTCCCAAGGTGCTGGGATCACCGGTATGAGTTCCTCCACCCAGCCCTGTTTGCATTTATTGAGGAGATACTTTGGAGTGGGATTTCTGGGTGAGGGGTAGGTCTGTGTTTACCTTTATAAGGGCAGTTTCCCAGAGTGGTTATACCTTCTTTCAGCCCTGCCAGCCGAGAGTTCTGGCTGCTCTGTACCCTTGCTACCTCTCAGTTGTCAGTCTCTTAATTTTAGCCACACTAGTGGATGTATAGAGAGGTGTTTTATTTTATTTTATTTTATATTATTATTTTTTTGATGCAGAGTCTTGCTGTGTTGCCCAGGCTGGAGTGCAGTGGTGCGATCTTGGCTCACCGCAGCCTCCGCCTCCTGGGTTCAAGTGATTCTCCTTACTCAGCCTCCCAGGTAGTTGGGATTATAGATGTGGGTCACCACGCCTGGCTAATTTTTGTATTTTTAGTAGAGATGGGGTTTCATCACATTGTCCAGGCTGGTGTTGAACTCCTGACCTCAAGTGATCCACCTGCCTCAGCCTCCCAAAGTGCTGGGATTCCAGGCCTGAGCCACCGCGCCCGGCCTGGCTGTGCGAGAGGTTTTCAGCCAGTCTTGCATTTCCCACACAGATCCCAGGGGCCGGAAATCCTGGCTGAGATTTTGTGGAGGGTTCCATGTCTGTGTTCATGAGGGGTATTTATCTGTAATTTTCCTTCCTCGGTGCTTCGTTGTAAGATTTGCGTATCAGAGTTATGTTGGCTTTGTGAAATACGAAGTGTTCATTCCCTTTATGTTTTTTCTAAGAGTTTATGTACGGTTTATATGGTTTATTTCCAAAATGTTTTATAGAAATCGCCAATATGGACCTGCAGTTTTCTTTTCTGTTTTTCTTTCTTTCTTTTCTTTTTTTTTTTTTTTTGAGTTGGGGTTTCGCTCTGTCTCCCAGGCTGGAGTACAGTGGTGTGATCATGGCTCACTGCAGCCTCGGCCTCCTGGGGTCAAGCAATCTTCCTGCCTCAGCCTCCCAAGTAGCAGGTGGGATTACAGGTACCCCCCCCCCACCATGCCTGGCTAATTTCTTTTCTTTTCTTTTCTTTTTTTTCTTTTTTCTTTTTTTTGGGATAAAGTCTCTATTGCCCAGGCTGGAGTACAGTGGTGTGATCTCGGCTCACTGCAGCTTCCACCTTGCAGATTCAAGCTCTTCTCCTGCCTCAGCCTCCCAAGTAGCTGGGACTACAGGCACCTGCCACCGCACCTGACCAGTTTTTTTTTGTATTTTTAGTAGAGGTGGGTTTTCACCATCTTGGCCAGGGTGGTCCTGAACTCCTGACCTTGTGATCCGCCCGCCTGGGCCTCCCAAAGTGCTGGGATTATAGGTGTGAGCCACCACGCCCAGCCACTTTTCTTCTTTTTAAGAAGAAGCGGCTCACTCCTGTAATCCCAGCACTTTCGAAGGCCGAGGCGGGCGGATCACCTGAAGTTGGGAGTTCAAGACCGGTCTGGCCAATATGGAGAAACCCTGACTCTACTAAAAATACAAAAAATTAGCCTGGTGCAGTAATGCATACCTGTAATCCCAGCTGTTCAGGAGGCTGAGGCCGGAGAATCACTCCAACCTGAGAGGTGGAGGTTGCAATGAGCTGAGATGGCGCCACCACACTCTAGAATGGGTGGCAGAGCAAGACTCTGTCTCAGAAAAAAAAAAAAGAGAGATGGGATTGGCTGGATGCGGTGGCTCACACCTATAATCCCAGCACTTTGAGAGGCTGGGGCAGACAGATCACCTGAGGTCATGAGTTGGAGACCAGCCTGGCCAACATGGCAAAACCCCATCTCTACTAAAAATACAAAAATTAACTGGGTGTGGTGGCATGTGCCTGTAATCCCAGTTGTTGGGGAGGCTGAGGCAGGAGAATCACTTGAACCTGGCCAGGCAGAGGTTGCAGTCAGCCAAGATTCTGCCACTGTCCTTCAGCCTGGGCAACAGAGTAAGACTCCATCTCAGAAGAAAAAAACAGTGTTTTCTGCCTGTGCCTCTGCTGCTCAGCCCAGCTGTAACTAATAGGGTAGGACCCAGACTTGTCAGCACCGTGGCCTTGTCCCCTTTTAGTACCCGTGGCTCGACCTCTGTCCTGGTGACGTGGGCGCCTTGCAGGCATGAGGAGAGCTGGGGCCGGGTCCAGTTCATGCTGCCAGAGGTAGAAGGAGGAAGGACAGTCGTGTCCTCCAGGCCTGGCGGGGCCCAGCTCTCCCCCCAGGCAGCTGGACGCCTGCATCCCGCCAGCTGCCAAGATTGCCCTGCTCTCTGAGTGGCCCTCAACAGGGCATGGGCCATGTGAGCGGCCCCAAGAAGGGGACGGGAGTCCTCCCTCCTCCTCCTCCTCCTCCCTGCGCAGCCCCCACCTCTGCCCCACATATCTGTCCAGCCAGCTTCTATTTCCTGTTTCCTGGTCTGAAGAGGCCCAGGCCCGGAAAAGCGACTGGGCCCGGGGGACCTGCCAGGGACCTGACGCGTCCCCGAAACCCATGTTTGTCTTCAGTCCCACAGAACAACGAGAAGCTTCAGGAGAGCCCGTGCATCTTCGCGTTGACACCAAGACAGGTGGAGCTGATCCGGAACTCCAGGTGCGCGGTGCCTCCCCCAGCCCAGTGCCCTGTGTCCTGGGCTCACGGGACAGCTGGCAGCCACGTCCACCACAGGCCTCGATCGAGCTCAGTCCAGATCCCTGCTGCAAGGCAGTGGTCGAGTTCTCTTCCTTCTGTAAAACCCTGTCCTGGGTCTCAGGTGCTGGGCTGTGTGCTCACTGCCTGTGCCCTGCAGCCCGAGAGAGGCTGTCCACTTTCAACACGGTTGACTGTCCACTTTCAACACGATTGTGCCCTCTGCATGTGGGACTATCCTGGGCACAGCAGGGTGCTCAGTCGCATTCCTGGCCTCCACCCACTCCATGCCAAGAACATGCCCCTGTTGTGACAACCACAGATGTCCCCAGACACTACCTGATGTTTGTCCCCTGGGGCAGCGGCACCCTCAGGTAAAGATGGCTGAGCTGTAGCAGGTGAGGGCTGGCACGGCTGCCCTGCTCCTCCCTCAGTCTCTCCAAGGCTGCCCTATTCCAGCAGAGACATTCCTGCTGGGGCAGCCATGTGGCAGGTGCTGGGATCTCAACACAGGGGAGGCCATTTGCCCAGGTCACACCTGAGTCCGTGTCAGGGCTGGGGTGGGTGCCCACATGTAATGCCCGACCTCTCGGGCCCAGCTGCTTCTGACCCACTGCCCCCATCCGCTGTGGGCCCAGGTCCCCGGGGCCTCCCAGTATGGTCCTCACACCTGGTAAGGGTTCGGGATCAGCCTAGCCAGGCCTGGCCACCGAGGCCTCCCTGCCTGGGAGCCCCAAGGTGGTGACTCGCCTTCCTCAGCTTCCTCTTCCTCGTCTTGAACCAGGGTCAGCACAGCCTCTGCCCCCACTGGGTCCCTGCTCTGGAGCGTTCAGAGCCAGCCACGCAGGGGCTTGGTTTCATTTTTTAATTAAATTAATTTTACTTCTTGAGGCGGGGTCTCACCCTGTCGCTATGCTGGAGTGCAGTGAGCTACCTTGGCTCACTGCAGTCTCCGCCTCCCTGGGTCAGGCGTCTCCCTCAGCCTCCGGAGCAGCTGAGATTACAGGCACGCGCCACCACACCCAGCTAGTTTTTGTACTTTTAGTAGAGACGGGGTTTCACCCTGTTGCCCAGGCTGATCTCGAACTCCTGACCTCAGGTGACCCACCCACCTCAGCCTCCCCAGGTGCTGGGGTTACAGGTGTGAGCCACCGCGCCGGGCCCTGCATGGTCTTCTGTGTTTGATGTCTCACGGGGTGGGACATCCTCACCGTGCATCTGCACCGAGGCCTGGGTCTCAGCCTCGCTCTTTTCCAAGGCTGGGTCGCATCCAGTGGTGTGTGAAGGACACGCAGGCAGCCGCTCCTTTGTGGCTGTCATGGTTGGCTCTGCCGTGCACATCCGTGCAAGTGTCTTTGGGTAGATAGATCTTTCTCTTTTTCTGGGGGCGTTCCTTGTTAAAGTTTATCTTTGGGTGTTCTTGGGGTTTGTTTGTTTTCTCTTTGTCACCCATGCACTGGAGTACAGTGGTGCAGTCATAGCCCAGTATAATCTCCACCTCCCTGGGTTCAGCTGATCCTTCAAGCAGGAGGGATCCTCCTGCCTCAGCCTCCGAGCAGCCGGGACCACAGGCACGCACCACCACACCCAGATAATTTTTTTTTTTTTTTTTTGAGACAGATTTCGCTCTGGTTGCCCAGGCTGGAGTGTAATGGCACGATCTCGGCTCACCGCAACCTCTGCCTCCTGGGTTCAGGCGATTCTCCTGCCTCAGCCTCCCGAGTAGCTGGGATTACAGGCACGCGCCACCATGCCCAGCTAATTTTTTGTATTTTTAGTAGAGACGGGGTTTCACCATGTTGACCAGGATGGTCTCGATCTCTTGACCTCGTGATCCACCCGCCTCGGCCTCCCAAAGTGCTGGGATTACAGGCGTGAGCCACCGCGCCCGGCCTCCAGATAATTTTTTGTATTTTTTGTGGAGACAGTTTTGCAGTGTTGCCCAGGCTGGTCTCAAACTCCTGGCCTGATGCACTCTGCCAGCCTTGGCCTCGCAACCTGGGTGCTCTGCAGTTGAGAGCTGGCCGCTGGATTCCATCGTGCGCGTTTTAGCTCCGGTTCCTCGGAGCGAGAGGCAGCTGCCTGCACACTCTGGTTCAGGGCTTTGTGGTAGATTCTTTTCCATTTTCCAGGGAGGCCGGCCCCTCTCCTGGCCCCACAGCCACTTTTATCTCAGCCTGCACAAAAGAGTCCTGGACCTCAGTTTTCCCAGCTTGGGGGAGGGAGCCTTTCAGGGAGGAAGTCTCCACCTTGTGGGGTGGGCTGGGGTCGTGCCCGACTCACTCATCTCTCCTTTCCATTCCTCCGGTTTGCTCCACACCCACAGAGAACTGCAGCCCGGAGTCAAAGCCGTGCAGGTCGTCCTTAGGTATGCCCAGGTGTGCCCACCACCCCAGGGCTGGGCCCCCAACCACCCGCCTCTCCAGTCCCACCATGGCTCCCCAAGTCCTGGCCCAGGCCCATCTCAGTCTCCCCTGCTAGCAGCAGAGCCCAGCTCCCCCATCTGCCGTCTGTCCCTGTCTATCCCCCATCCCTGCCCAGGCCACACCCAGATGCCCCGAGACCCCCCCACCCCCATGCAGTCCAGCCACGTGTCACGTTTTATAGCACCTCTGTCACCACCGCCTGTGTTCCCCTGGGCCCAGCCCCTCTTGTGTCTCCCTGCCTGCTGCCCCATGTCCCTGTGGTCCCCTGCAGCGACCCAGCCTCTCCTGTGCCCCCCCCGCCTGCCACCCCTTGGTCCCTGTTGTCCCCCACAGCAGCTTGGCCCCTCCTGTGCCCTCCTCCTGCCGCCCCTCCTGTGCCCTCCTCCTGCCGCCCCTCCTGTGCCCCCCTCCTGTGCCCTCCTCCTGCCACCCCTTGGTCCCTGTTGTCCCCCACAGCAGCTTGGCCCCTCCTGTGCTCCCCTCCTGCTGCCCCTCCTGTGCCCCCCTCCTGTGCCCCCCTCCTGTGCCCTCCTCCTGCCGCCCCTCCTGTGCCCCCCCTCCTGTGCCCTCCTCCTGCCGCCCCATGGTCCCTGTTGTCATTGCAGAATCTGCTACTCAGACACCAGCTGCCCTCAGGAGGACCAGTACCCACCCAACATCGCCGTGAAGGTCAACCACAGCTACTGCTCAGTCCCGGTGAGCATGGCCGCTCTTGTCTGCTATGAGGGTGGGCGGGACGGAGGGGTGTGGGGGCCATTGGAGTTCCTGACGGTCCTTACACTCCTGTCTGAGCGGCCTGTCTGCTTGCAGGGTTACTACCCATCCAATAAGCCTGGGGTGGAGCCCAAGAGGCCATGCCGCCCCATCAACCTCACCCACCTCATGTACCTGTCCTCGGCCACCAACCGCATCACCGTCACCTGGGGGAACTATGGCAAGGTGAGTGAGTGCCTGGGCCGCCTCCCTACCCTCTGCCCTGTTGTCACCGGCCCTGCCCTGCCAGCCCTGACCCAAGCCCTCTCTCCCCAGAGCTACTCAGTGGCCCTGTACCTGGTACGGCAGCTGACCTCGTCAGAGCTGCTGCAGAGGCTGAAGACCATTGGGGTGAAGCACCCAGAGCTGTGCAAGGCGCTGGGTGAGTGGGGCTCAGGGCCACCTCAGCTGAGGGACGGGCAGAGCTGCATCCTGGAAGCCTGACCTGTGCTGGGTGAGGGGTGGGCCCTGCACCCGAAGGAGATCAGTCAGGGGCCACCTGTCACTCTGGGGGTCTATGGCCCGCGCTGCGGCTAGGGAGGTCTCTGGAGGATGTGGACGGCAGAGGTGGCGCTCGGCAATGGGAGCTGCTGTGTAGAGGCCTGCAGGGACACACCCTGTATCACTGGCCCCAGGCGCCCCAGCACAAAGGGGTCCAAGCATTCCAGGACAGCACAGAGGCCAGGAGGGTTGAGAGGGAGCACAGCAGGAGCTGCACTCTAAGCAGGCCCACCTGGCTGCCACGGCGAGGCCGAGGGTTCTGCGGGCGTAGCAGATGGACAGTGAGGGCCGTGCAGTCCGTTGCTGTGGGAGGAAGACTGACGGTAGAGGTCTGACCTCCCGTGGTCAGGCCCCATTTTATCTTTTTTTTTTTTAAAGAGAGTCAGGGTCTCTGGGAGGTGGAGGCTACAGGGAGCTGAGATCTTGCCATTGCACTCCAGCCTGGGCAACAGAGCAAGATTCCTTCTCAAAAAAATGTCCACTGTATCACCCAGCTGCAGAGCAGTGGTGCGGTCATGGCTCCCTGCAGCCTCTAACTCGGCTCCAGCGATCCTCCTGCCTCAGCCTCCTGGGTAGCTTGGGACCACCCACATGTGTTCACTACCATACTAGCTAATTTTTTAATGTTTCGTAGAGCTGGGATCTTGCTGTGTTGCCCAGGCTGGTCTTAAAGTCCTGGGTTCAAGCAGTGCATCTGCCTCAACCTTCCCAAGTGCTGGGATTGTAGTTGGGGCTTCTTTTCACACCTGGCCTCTTTGGTATTTGTAACAGTGAAAAGAGTTTTTTTTTTTTTAAGTGACATGCAAGGCATTTTAAACAAAGCCTACCGAGACTGGCAGCCGATCATTCCTCACCCAAGCAGCCTCCCGGCACAAAGCCAGCGCTCAGTTAACCTTCCTTGGCAAGCTGTGTGGCCTCAGAAAGTCAGTGGCCCTGTCTGGTGGCTGCCGTCTTCACGGGAACAGGTCTGAGACATCTTGAGGGCACCTGGACCTCTCTCTGGACCCACATGCTTGGGGCCCAGGCCTCAGTGGGCTCTGCAGGCCTGTCCTGTGGAGAAATGCGGCGTAACCTGGAGTCCTTTGGAGCTGGGAGTGAGAGTTGGGCAGGTGGGCGAGGACTGGGACTGCCTTCCAGGCTGAGTGGAGGGCAGTTCCAGGCCAGCCAGCAGCCGGGTTTGCTCACATCTCCTTCAAGAATGGTGGCTCTGTTCAGGTGGCTCCTGGGTCCCACCCCAGCCCCTTGGCAGAATGTGGGCCAGAGGGTCTCCCAGCTGCCCCTCCTAACTGCTCAGGGCCCCTGTGCCCAGGCCCAAGAGTCCCTCGTGAGCACTGCCTTCCTGGCACAGCTGGACCCAGGCCTCTGGCCCCTGCTCCAGACCTCCAGAGGGCACTTCCTAGCCTGGGTGTCCGGAGCCTGGAGCAGTGCTGGAATGGCCAGGGACTTGTGAGTCCCTTTATCTTGAAGCCTGCTACACACTCCAGCCCCCCAAGTCAGGAAGGATGGCCGTCAGCATGCCCTCTGCAGAGCAGGACAGGGAGGGGTGGGGTAGGGAGAGCCTGGCGATGTTTCTGACCAGTGGGGACACTGAGGCTGAGTGGCAGAGTTAGGGTTCTGTGACCTGGGTTTCCCATCCCCCACCTCCCTCTTGCCTCAGAGGGCCCTTTCTTCAACCCCCGCTTCTCTGCCTGAGGCATGATGGCCAACTTGAGCAAGGAGGCTGGGGCCAGGCAGACCTCTTCCAGGCTTACAGGGCAGGGGCTGGGCCGAATCTGTCAGTGACCACGGCTTGCCGGGCCGTGGCTGGCCCTGCGGGGTCAAGTTTCCTCTCTGAAGTGGTCCTCAGGCGCTGCCCACCTGCGGCCCCTCGTCACTGGGTCTCTCTTGTTGTACCAGGAAGTCCTCGCCTTTGTCTCACTTGAGCCCTTCTTGCCGCATACGTCTTGTTCTACATGGAGGAGGGAGAGCTTGCTTCAGAATCAGATGGGCACCTGCATTCCCTCCTAGCTGCCCAGGGCCCCCTTACCAGGCCTGAGGGTCTGCCTGGGCACCTGGTAGCCAGAGCTGGGACCCAGGGCTGGAAACTTGGCCAAGGCTGGGGCAGTCTTGGCTCAGGCAGGAGAGCTGCTGGGGCCCTGCGAGGGAGCAGACCGTGGCGGCCAGCATGTGGCTGCCACCGCGTCCCCATGGGAGGAAGCGCCCACTGGTCCACACACAGACTGCGGGTTGGGCCAGGGGGCTGGGTGGAGTTTAGGAAGGAGGAAGTGGCTCCTACACGGCCAGAGATAAATGGTGTTTGAGGGCAACAGCGGGTGGTGGGGGCAGTTCCAGGCAGAGAAACGTCAGGGCAGCTGGGGGCAGTGGGAGGACAGGCTGGCACCGTCACTCTGGACCCCAAGTCAGGTGGGCAGGTGGCTTCCTGGAGGAAGCAACTCGGGTCCACCAGGCAGCTGAGGGCAGGTCGTGGATAGAGAGGCCCTGTGGGCTGTGGGCCAGTGTGGTCTCTGCCCCGAAGGGCCCAGAGCTGGGATTCTGTCCTGAGCTACTGGGGGATGGAATTGGGCCACATCCCAGAAGCATCAGGAGGGCAGCCAGGTGCCTGCGTGAGTTCCTCCTGTCGGTGGCCTGCAGCCTGTCGAGTGGCGGACATGTCTATTCCTTTGTGGAAGCAGCTATGCTGCTGGGCGTGCCGGCTGCCCAGGGGCGCTGCCTGGGGCTGGGTGGCAGCCGCTTCCTGGCTCCTGGTCAGGAGTTCCAGGGTCCGTCTCATGGCTCGGTTGCTGCCTTATTTCCGGCTGTGGCCTTGGGGATGGTGCTTTGGTGACAGGATTAAGTCACAGCGATGACCCTGTTGGTGGCTGTGTTGCATGAAACTTTCCAGAAAAGTCCCGTGGGTCATAGAACGCTGATGCGGGCCGGGGAGAGGCCTCATCTGCGTGTTGGGGCTTTGGCTGGGCGTATGATGCGCGCAGGCTGTGGCCAGATGTAATGGTGGTCGCCGCCCAGCCTTCCCTGATCCCTCGTAGCCCTGAGCCAGCAACAAAGCTTGGGGCTTGTCCTCAGGGTACCTGTTCTGGGAGGTGGAGGTCAGTGCTGGCGAGAACCTGAATCCCAGGCCCGTACCCCGCTGCCACCTCCCCCTGATGGTGTCCTCTCTTCCTTTCCCACAGTCAAGGAGAAGCTGCGCCTCGATCCCGACAGCGAGATTGCCACCACTGGGGTTCGGGTGTCCCTCATCTGCCCGGTGAGTTGGGGCGCACACCCCTCCTCGGGGCCTCTCTCCTGCCCGGTGGTCCTGGTCCCGGGGCAGCTTGGCTGGGCCGAGAGCCTGAGTGGCAAGGCTGGTCTTGTTCCCCTCCGTGTCCCTGAGACACGAGCGATTGGAAGGAGCCACAGGATGGAGCTGGGGGCGAGGGGCACCGGTCGGGCACAGCAGTCAGGGGTGCCCTGCTCACCCAGCTCCTCACCCGCAGCTGGTGAAGATGCGGCTCTCTGTGCCTTGCCGGGCAGAGACCTGCGCGCACCTGCAGTGCTTCGACGCCGTCTTCTACCTGCAGATGAATGAGAAGAAGCCCACCTGGATGTGCCCGGTGTGCGACAAGCCAGCCCCCTACGACCAGCTCATCATCGATGGGTGAGCCTGGGGCCCTGGGGAGGGAGGCCAGAGCCAGACACCGTGGAGGTCTCAGCGGCACCCTGCTTCCTGCAGACCCTGTGCTGCCCCAGCAAGACGCAGTAGTGAGGGCACTTGGTCCCAGAGCTCCGGGAGCACCGGGGCTGCGGAAAGAACCCATTTCTTCCCCAGGGAACTTGTCAGAGCTGTGCAGGTGCCAGGTGTGTAGCTTAGGCTGCAGAAGGTGGACTCGGGTCCACCCTTGCTCCCACATGACCTTGGGTGAGTGTGACCTTGCATTGCAGGAGTATGTATAGTTTTTGCCGAGAAAAGCTGAGCCAGGCACGGCGTTTGTACGGCGTTCCACCCCAGGAAGTGCAGACTTGGCAGACTGGGTCGGGGGTGACCTCCTCAGAGAAAGGCAGAGGAGGCAGCGGCTCCCTGAGTGCTCTGGCCACACCGCACCCTACCCTTCCTGGGTGGCACAGCTGGCCAGGTGGTCCCCAGGCCACAGGATAGGAGGGCAGGGCCTTTCTACCTGGACGGAGGCTCTCTCTGCCCAGGGCTTGTTTCCAGAAACTGAGCGTCGTTGTCTGTGGTGCCCAATTTGGCTCCTGGCTGGTGCCAGCCACGCTGCCATTTTGTCCCCAGAGCCGCTGGCAGGGTGTGAGGCCACATCGGCACGAGCTGGTGCCCTCACAGGTGGGAGCAGGCCCCGCCCAGGGGAGTGGGCCCAGCCCCCAGCCCTCAGGGGCATGGCCTCAGCCAACCGTTCAGGTAAAGGCAGGACTGGCCCACCTCCAGGGTTGTAGATTTGGTCCCCCAGTAAAGGTCCTGGGAGGCAGACCTTCGAGCCTCCCCATCTTACAGACAGGGAGATAGGCTCAGAGAAGGCAGCCAGCAGCTGGAGCCGCCCCGGCCCACAGGTGGACTGGCTGGGACTGGAACCCAGCCTGAGTCTGCTCCTCTCCTGGGAGAGCTGCATTGCCACCCCGCTGCAGGCCAGTTTCGGGTGGAGAGAGAGGCCCTGGGGCCTGGGCACACGGGCTGCCTGAATGGCCTCTCTGTTCCCGGCCTGACAGCTGTGCGGCCGCTGCCCGCCTTCCCCCACAGGCCTGAGCTGGGCTTGGGCTCTCGGCTCCAGGGCTGGCAGGGCTGGGCCAGGCAGCCGTGACCCACGTAGGCCTTGGTCTCAGCAGCCACCGGTACTCCGTGTAGCCAGGGAGGCTTCCTGAAGGAGGGCTCCTTGGTTCATACATTTCTCCATGAGGCCTGTCACCTGTCTGTCCCTAGCCCTGAGCTGGGTGACCCCAGGGTCCCCAAAAGAGTCATTTCCCAGACCCTGCCTTTGGAGAGCCTTGCTCGGGGCGGATGGAGGAGCAGAGCCAGGCATAATGTTCCTGCTGCTGTGCCTGTCAAGGAGGGGAAGGGACGCTGTGGGATGGGGTTTCGGAGGCTGAGTAGGAGTTTGCAGGCAAAGAAGCAAGCAGGCAGAGCTGGTCCCATGCCTGGGATGGCCCTGGCACAGTGAGCTCTGAGCATTGCCTCGGGGTGAGGGTAGGAGGGGTGGGCGGGGCTGACCTGGGTGAGAGGAGTCCCATAGGCCTCAGAGGGTGGCCCAGAGCGTGAAGAGGCCTCTTCTCCTTGGTGATGAGAGTGACGCTGCCGCAGGCACCTGGGAGCCGCTGCAGCCTTGACAGTTACAGGCCAGCCTGCTCTGTGATACGTGGCCCTGCCTATACCTGTGGGCATGGGGGGGTCTCCCTTCAGATGCCCCCGTTGGCCACTGCACCCTTCCCATTCTGCAGGTGGGGAGACCGAGGCCCTTTGGCTAGGATGCCCCAGAACCAGGGCCTGCCTCCGATTGTCCTTGGGTCCTCAGGACTCATCCGTTTCCTGGGCCTCTGTTTGCCCATTTATAAAATAGGGCTGTTAGGACTCTTGAGTAAGAAGGCCGGACACTGGGTGGGGTGCAAGCTCTGGAGAGGCTGTGGCTGTGATGGGCATGGGGGGATCCCCGCTCTGCTCCCAGTGCTACCCTCACAGCCTCTGCAGGATCTTTGAGCAGCCCACACCTTCCCCCCAAGGAGGTTTCCTGGTCTGCTGGCACACAGTGCAATGTGAAGGCATGAGTGTGCGCACCCCCACAGGCTCACACTTGGCACGTGCACGCCACATGCTTACATGTCTGCAGCCTGCGCCTTCACATGCACGCGTGCCTACATTAACACAGCGCATGCCCATGTATGCACATGCTCATGTGCCCACGTCCGAACAATCCACATACACGTGTGTGCACATCCACACATGCATACATTCACATGTGTGCACGTACATACACTCACACGTGCTCATGGCCACACCATCCACATATGCATGTGTGTACCTGCAGACCTGCCTAGGGCTCAGCAGCTGCAGGGGCCGTGGCAGGGAAGGAAGGCAGTGCTCCTGGGCCGCCCTGGTCGGGGTGGTGAAGGCGCTCTGGCACAGAGAAGTGGGCAGTGGCTGGCTGCATTTGAACGGGATGGTGTGCTGTGGATTGCGTGGGCGGGGTGCCCCCAGCCCAGGGCTCAGCTTCTCTGCCTTGCTCCAGCCTCCTCTCGAAGATCCTGAGCGAGTGTGAGGACGCCGACGAGATCGAATACCTGGTGGACGGCTCATGGTGCCCAATCCGTGCCGAGAAGGAGCGCAGCTGCAGCCCACAGGGCACCATCCTCGTGCTGGGTGAGTGCCTCGCCACCGCTGACTGCACGGTCCCCAGCCAGGCCGCCTCAGTTTCCCTATTTGTCAGTAGCTGCGTCCTAAGTACCTTCGTCCTGTGCCTGTCGCCTGCAGGCCCCTCAGATGCCAGTGGGCTCCTGCCCACTCCCAGTGTCAACGGGAGTAGTGCACTGGGCAGCACGGGTGGCGGCGGCCCAGCGGGCAGTGTGGAGAATGGGAAACCGGGCACAGACGTGGTGGACCTCACGCTGGACAGCTCATCGTCCTCGGAGGATGAGGAGGAAGAGGAGGAGGAGGACGAGGACGAGGACGACGAGGGCCCCCGGCCCAAGCGCCGCTGCCCCTTCCAGAAGGGCCTGGTGCCAGCCTGCTGACCCTGGCCGGACACGCGACTTTCCTGGTGCTCACCACGCAGAGGGGCGCGGGGCCGGCCTTGGGCGCAGAGGGAGGAGTGACCTTTTTTTTCTTTTTATTGTCGTTCGTTTTGTTTTTCCACCCCGTTGCCTGGCTCCTGGCACCTGTACCTCTGGACTCTCCTGTCAGGGGATTAAAAAACAGTAAAATGACAAAAAAAAAAAAATACAAAAAAAATGAAACGAAAAAGTCAAACTCTTAAAAACAAGGCCGGCCACCCACACAGCCACCTCCCCGGCTGGAGTCAGAGCCGGGCAGGGGTGGTGGGCGGGAGGGACCAGGACGCCGCCCCGCATCCTCCCCTCAGGACACCCTGCTGCCCGCTGCCCTCTTCCCATGACCATTTCAGCCAGGGCGCAGGGACCCGGGCGGCGGGGTGGGGCGCAGCCCCTCTCTGGCAGCCACTTTGTCGTGTGTCTCTTCCTTTGCTTTCTCTCTGCAAACGCGGCCTCACCCAGAGACCCTCACGCTCCTAGCAGCGAGCGTTTTAGCCAAGAAGCCATGGAGTGGGTTGGGGCAGGGAGGGGCAGGAGTGGGAGGAGGGCGGGCAGGTTGAGGGCACGGTTGGGGGCTGGGGAGGGTTTAGCCACAGATGTGTTGTATTTTTTGAAAGTGCAATAATTTGGTATTTTGAAGACCCGGCGTGTGGCCAGGAACCCCTGGGGAAGGTGGGGGTCAGGGTGCGGCACCGTGTGGCGTGGGGGGGTCTCAGTTTTCTAGCCAGCTACCTCGGTAATTCCAATTCAGGTTAACTTCCCTACGGAACAGCACAGATGTCCACAGATGTCCACAGCTGCCACCGCCGCCACCACCACACCCTGGTCCTCAGGACGGGGGGTGGTGGCTTCCCAAGGGGCAGTGGGGACTCCGGCCGCCCTGGCTCTCGGTTTGGGTTGATTCCTCTCCCTTCTTTTTGCTCTTGGGTTTTCCGACGGGTACGAGGCTGGCCCGGCACCCTGTCCCCCGGGAGCCTCGCTCTTCCAGCGGGACCAGACCAGACGGGGCCTCCCTCCTGTCCCCAGGGGTTCCTTGCCCCTCATAGGCCCCACCCATGCCCTTGGCCTCAGGGTCCAACAAGGGGGGGCTTTGGGGGCTCTGCCTCCAGGAGCCTGTAGCTGGGCGACCCCTCGCCCCCCAGGAGACCGGGGCGCAGGCGGGGCGCCGGCCTCACCTGGTTCTCCAACACCGCTCCTTGCGGTCTGTTTTGCTTTTGTCTTCCCCGGCCCAGAATCTTCCTTTGTATAAACAGAACTCCTAGTCAGGAAGCAATATCATTTCAGGTCTACAGAAAGGGACGTGCATCTGGCCCAGGGCAGCTCAGTCTCTGCAGAGCCGGCAGCCCGGCCCCGGGCAGCTGAAGGCCACAGTTTTCTAGTATTTGTATTCTAATTTAATTGTTTTTAAAAAATGGAAATAAAAAAAGGTCGAGGTGAAGCCACCCAGGTGTCGCTTTTCTGTGCCCTGTGTCTCGTGTGCCTTGTAGTGGGGGGCGGGTGGGGAAAGGACAGAAACTCAGTCCCACGCACATCTCTCCTGATCATTGCCTGCGCTCCAGAAGTCAAAACCTGCCACACCTGGTCAAATGAGGCAGATTTGTGTTTTTTATAGAGATGGGGTGTGGGGTCAGTTCTCAAACTCGGGTCCTCAAGTGATCCTCCTGCCTCAGTCTCCCAAAGTGCTGCAGGGTGGAGAAGGGGATGGGACATCCTTTGGGCAGATAGAATGTTCCAGAATTAGTGGTGATGGATGAGTAATTTTTTGAAGGGTTTTTTTTGTTTTGTTTTGTTTTGTTTTTTGAGATCCATTCTTGCTGTAGTCCAGGACTGAGTACATTGGCTCGATCTCGGCTCACTGCAACCTCCGCCTCCTGGGTTCAAGCGATTCTCCTGCCTCAGCCTCCTGAGCAGCTGGGATTACAGGCACATGTTGCCACGCACAGCTAATTTTTGCATTTTTAGTAGAGACGGGTTTCACCATGTTGGCCAGGATGGTCTGGATCTCCTGACCTCATGATCCACCTGCCTCAGCCTCCCAAAGTGCTGGGATTACAGGCGTGAGCCACCTCGCCCGGCCTTGAAGGGAAATTTTATGGTATGTGAATTACTTTTTTTTTTTAATTTTCGAGACAGGGTCTCACTCTGTCATCCAGGCTGGAGTGCAGTGGTGCAGTCATAGCTCACTGCGGCCTCAACCTCCTGGGCTCAAGCAATCCTCCCTCCTCAGCCTCCAGAGTAGCTGGGACCACAGGTGTGCTCCACCACACCCGGCTAATTTTTGTATTTTTTGCAGAAATATAGTTTCACCTTGTTTGTCAGGCTGGTCTCGAACTGGGCTCAAGCAGTCCTTCCTCAGCCTCCCAAAGTGCTGGGATTACAGGCAAGAGCCACTGCACCGAGCCCTCTCTAAGGCAGGGAGGTTAAGGAGCACCTACCCCCCGATTGGTGGTCCTGAGGGTGCTCCTTCAGCTTCTCGATGCTGTGGGACCTCTGAGCAGAGGCCTGTGTGCCCTGAGGGCCTAGGAGGCAGGGGGCTCAGGACACGGCCTGGCTGTAGAACTGATGATCTGCCCACCCTGCTCCAACTCACGTTGGAGACCTGGGCTCGAATCCTGGCTGCAGCAGGGTTATGGGTGGCGTCACACAGGTACAGGGCTTTGACGTGGGGTCCACACAAAGACCCAGTGGCCCTCAGACTCTGTGGTGTGGCCTTTGTGGTGCTTCCTGGCGAGGGCTGGGCCGGGCTTTGTTGACTTTCTGTGGCTACTAGGAAGGGCCCAATCCACAGAAGAGGAGCCGGGGCTCTGAATGGACCCAGAGCCCGACTCAGCGCAGCCACGTCTGCCTCATTCATCCCTTGGAGCCGGCCCCATCCCCACCCTTGCTGGCCTGGACAGACTCCGTGGGCATGGGCTGAGTCTGCTTGGAGGACGGGCAAGAGGAGGCTCTCCCTTAGGGACCCCACCCAGAGGTAGTGGCTGCAGCTAGCTGAGACTTCCAGCTCCAGATCCTGGCTCGTGGCCCAGGGGCCTGGCATGGGGCAGCACACTGGGGTCCTCTGAGGCCCTAGCAGTCTAGGTGAGGCTACCCCGCCTGGGGCCTTGGGAGAGCCTGGAACCAGGGGTGCCCAAGACCCACCCCTGGATTCTGCTAATAAACCTGCCCGGCCGGTTCTCCCTGCTGCCCCTCTGGCCTTATCCCGTGCCAGCCGCCTGCCCACGAGAGGGGCTGTGGGTCACCTTCCCCGCAGGGGCCTCCGGGCCTGGGACCTCGCTGGATACTCAGCCCCCACCCCTCATGCTGGGTCACTGTCCACACCCTGCCTCCCACCACGGGACAGACGGATCCCAGAGAGATGGGCCTGGCTTCCAAGGCCGGGCAGGAAGGGTCAGGGACCTGGGGTTTCTCTCCTTGAGAGCCAAGGTCAAGTCACCCTGGGCCCAAAGGTGTGGTGTGGACCAGGTGCTCAACCCATCCAGTCTCTTCAGGGCGAAAAGAGGAAAAAGGGTACCCCCCCCCAAGCCCTCCACCTCCGCTCCCCGCCCTCCCCCCAACAAAACACAGAACATCAAATGAGGCAACCGAGGCAGCAGCGGTCGTAACAGGCTGCGTTTAGTGGTTCTTTTTATGTACAAGAAAAATGAATTTTTTTCTGCTTTTTCATCTTTTGTGTTTTTGTTTGTATTTTTTTTAATTACTTTTAAAGCTTCTCCCTCCCCACTCCCAAAAAGTGCATTTTTATCAGTTTTTTTTTTTTTTATATCTCCCACACTTTATAAAGACTCTCAAATACAGTCTCTGGAATGTCTGTCTGTGCTCTGTACCCTGAAGGCGCCGCCCCCCATTCACCAGTCCTGGCCCCCGCAAAGTCCAAGGCACCTGGATTCTGGGCCTGGGGTGGGGCGGGGGGGTGGGACCTGGGCATCAAACCCCCGTCCACAGCCTCCAGGCAGCCCCGGCAAGGGATTGGGGGTCTCCCTGGCCCCCTCCACCTCCTGGCCCCAGTTTCCCCCACCCTTGTAAATCTATGTATTTAATGCAAGCTCGCCTGAATTCTGAGGTTGTAGCTCCTGGGGGCCCCCCAGCTTCCAGGCCCCTGACCCGTCCTGTGTCAGCCACCCCCCACCCACCTCCGGGAAGGCTGCTTCAACTTAAATAACTTTTTAAAATAAAACTGCAAATATAAATATCTTTCTTTCTCAAAAAATAGGATTTTTGCTTTTTTTTGTTGGTTTTTTTTTTTTTTTTCTCTGTTTTTCATTTCATTCTGTCTCGCCAGCTGCCTGGACTGTCCCCATTTGGGGAGGTGGGGCGCCCTGTGACCCCTGCCTCAGTGCCACCGAGTGTGAGGTGACTGCTCCTGCCACAGCCCCGGGGTCTGAATCATGCCAAGACCCCCCCCACCACCTTCCCCGCAGTACCCCACACTTCCAGGGAGAGACCCCAAAAGAGGCTGAGGATCCCCCTTGGAAGAAAGCAAAAAGACAGCTATGGACAAAAGGTGACAGGGCTCCCATGACCACAATGGTGGCAGGGGGGTCTCCTGAGCGGACCACCCAAGGCGGGGACAGACTTTGGTATTGCCCGCTAGAGCCTGGCTCGCCACAGGCCCACACCCGCGCCAGGCTGGACCTGGTCCGGCATTTTACATTCACTGGTTTATAATTTTTTTTTTCATTTTTAAAAATTTTTTTGCCTTTTTTTTTTTTCTTAATCTCAAAAGGCGGGGTGGCTTCGGTGGGGCCAAGGCAGGAAACAGCAAAAGCTGGTAGCAAGGATGCTTCTCTCTCTCCCCTGGGCCCGGCCACCTCCCCGGTCCCCCGGGCGCCCCCGCCTGAAGCCCCCCGAAGCCTGGACCTCACTCCCGCTCTCGCACACACGCACGAAACTTCACCATGATAATGGAAGCCACAATTTCGCATTTTTTTTTTCTTTTTTTTTTTTTTGTACCAGGCAGTTAAAAAAAAAAAAAACACCCCAAAAAAAGAAAACACAAAATAAACCCCAAACAACCAAACAAAAAAGCTTTTAGCTGTGTCCTTTCTCACGGAGTCACACGACCCTCCTCAAATATCACTTTCTGTCTGTTTCCTGAAACGCGAGAATTCAGCAGGTATCTTTGGCAACACTTTATCACGACCTTAATTTAAAGAATAAAAATAAAATTGATCCACGTCTATATACAGTATGTGATTGCGCGGAGTCTGGGGAGGGCGGGGCGGGGCTGGGCTGGGGGGTCCCGGCTCTGGGCCCATGCAGAGGCTGTGGCCCCCAGGACGGGCGGGCAGTTAAGGCAAAGTGGGCGGGCAGGACAGGCGAAGCTGAGTGCGGAGCTGGGAACGCGGGGTTAGTGCAATCCCAAGGAGGTCTGTGTGAGCGTCTCGGTGGGCAGCAGCCCTGGCTCCTACGGAAGTCCCAGAGGGCTCCACCCCCCCAAGTCCGGTCGCCCCCACTGGCCAGGACGACAGCTGTGATTTTGGAGTTGGTTTTATTGCGAGGGGGTGCGTGGAGAGGGGGAAGTGGAAAGAGGGCTCACCCCTCAGGGGGCCGCTCTAGGAGCTGGAGCAGGGGGTGTCCCTGGCCTGGGTGTCCCAAGCCACCACAGATGGTTCTCTCCAGAACAGCTCGCCCTGTACCTCTGGGGTGTGAATGCGGCCGGGGTGCCGTCACCCAGCCCCAGGGGAGAGGGGGGATCCTGAGACATTGGAGGGGGCTGACAGGCTTAAGGGGGGGTGGGAGGGGAACCAAAACCATCCTGTAGAAACAATATGGAAATTGCCTTCTTAAAAAGCTTCCCTTTAAAAATGAAAGAAAAAGAGACGAGATGTGTGTGTCACAGAGAAGGGGGAATGGGGGGATGGGCGCAGGGAGACACCCCCCTTGGTTGGGCATTGACAAGGAAGTGTCAGTGCAGCAGAGCGTCTATTTTCGGGGTCCCATGCTAGGCATTGCATATGCAAAAGGGCTGAGGGCGTCCTGGCATCTGGCGACGTTGTCTCCCCAACCCCGGCCCCTGTCCGTGGCCTGTGGCTCGGTCAACGCCGGGCCTTGTGGGAGCCAGAGGTTGGGGGGAGGCAGGTCCCAGCCCCCTGGATTACAGTCAGTGCCTTTGAGTAAAAAGAGAGGTGCCTGGGGCGGGGAGGGGGTGGCGGTGGTTCTAAGGCCCTGGAGGTGGGGGGCCCCTGTCACCCACCTCAACAGGGCAGGCGTGTCCAAGGTCCAGCTCCTTGGTGGCCATGCGGGAGGACTGGGGGACTGGGGGTGTGGGGCAGCAATCGGGGTACTCCGGCTGGAAAGCCCATCCCTGAGCTAGGGAGGAGGAAGGAGAGACCCCAAAGACAGAGATGGCCCTTTGTATGTCTAGTGGGCGCTAAGACCTGTACACGTCAGAACCAAAAAAGGGGACAGAAAGGGGGGCGGGGAACACAGCACAGACACCCCA